AGAAAAAATTGTGCCGAATCTTCCAACGAATTGCATTGTAGTGATGGATAATGCGTCATACCACTGCACACAGATCAACAAGGCGCCTACAATTGGCAATACAAAAGCAGAGCTCCAAGGATGGCTTACGAGAAATGGTATTACGTTTGAAGACTGTTGGACAAAAGCGCAATTATACGAATTAATTAAAAAATACAAAGGAGACCCACAGTACGAAATAGATCAAATGCTAAATGAATATGGACATGAGGTTCTCCGTTTGCCGCCTTACCACTGCGATTTAAATCCCATAGAAAAAATTTGGGCAATAGTAAAGAGACGCATTGCAGAGAAAAATATCACTCAAGCTCCTAGCGAAATAGCTGCTATTACTGAGGCGGCGTTTGGAACAGTAACGTCAGAAGAATGGTTCAACGTATGCCAACATGTAGAAAAAATAGAAGGTAAATATTTCCAATCAGATAGGCTGATGGATATGGAAATGGATGAATTTGTAATTAATGTTACAGGTGACACATTCGAGTCATCTGATGAAGAATGGATGATGAAGATATGCGAATGGAGGGTGATCAGGACTTTTAAAATTTTATATAATAGGTATTCAGATCTGACTTTTTTTCTTTTAATAAATATTATAATGCTATTTCAGTTGTTTCAAAATACCTTTTTGGAAAAATTTATTATAGACAAAATATCAGTAGTCATTAATCTTAGTACTAGTCCTTTTTATACACGCATATAATAGGTACCTGTAATTGTGTAAAAAAAATTGTAGTGGCGTAGTTAAACTTGTGTAGTGAGGTATCAAACTTATGAAAGTTAGAATCAAGAAATATATTTATTACGCGGATCTTAAACAATAAATATGGGGTTTAAAAAATTATTAGGTCTTTGTAAGTTTAGGCTGAACATTACAGTTTTTTTAATTGAGATTTGGTAATCAATTAGGTAATTTATGTAATTTGATATAATTATACAATTCCAGTAATAAGATTAAACGAAGGAAAAAATATTAGTTAAGCTGGCAACATTAAGCACGCCATCAGTCGCGCGCAGAGTTATCTTGCGCGCACTATAATATACATAGTGACATGTCATTGAAACGACGTCAAGTAAAAAAAGTTTATAGTGGTTATTTTTAATATTTTGCTTTGTTTGTAAAATTCAAATTTAAATAAGTGATAAAAAAATATACACGTTGTCATGAAATATAGATAACTTCGTAATTTTTCGGATTTACATAAAAGATTATTTTAAATCGTGTGAGTACGTTTGTGCAAAGTTATTGCGAAATGATTAATGTGAAACGTCAAAAGGTATTTCTTAGATTTGGTTGACTATAGTCTTTCCTGGCCTGTGGAATTTCTCAAATAAGTTTTGAGACGTTTCAGAGAAGAGAAAGTCCTCTCAGGGGTACATGTAGAAGCAGACAGTGTCGCCAAGATCTTTAGATGCTCATTTATCTACTATTTATGCACACTTCTATTTAAGGATCTCCTTCACCAAGACATAGAATAAATAATATGTAGTACTATTACCTTTGAGTATACTCAAAGTCTATTACCAAGGTTTGCCTGGAAGAGATTACTGTTAAGCGATGAGGCCACCTAATTGTACATAAATTTATAAGTTTGTGAATGTTTGGAAATAGGGCTTGGTTGCATTCTCCGAGAGCTTCAATAGCACATGTTGGCCGATCTAGTTCAGATTCTTCCACCCATTTTATCCACCACATGTCTAATTCCGCTTTTACAAAGTCCTGTTCCAAATATTTTTTATAGAGCTCAAAGTAGTTTTCTTGATAATTTTGATAATTTTGGAATTAAAATGTTGAGAGATGATAATGTGGCTTTATGATTCTGGAATCTCGACTGAAGCTGATCAATGATATCATCCAAAAGTGGAATCATTATAGTAATTCTAAAATAAGTTGGGGGATCTTTTGTGTTGTAGTTTGGCCTAAGTTCTTGGCGTGACGTTATTTGCGGAATTTTCATTTCCTCGTTTACAGTACTAAGCAAATTCTGTGCATTCTTGAAAAGTTTAGCAAATTTTGAATCAGTATTTTGGCGAACATCTTCAATAGTCTTTATTAAATCGACATGTTGTAAAGCTCCTGCCAAATCACATAGGGGAGATTGAAGCATTTTGTATAGTGTCAGTGTGTACGGGAACAACATTCCTAAGCAACAGAAGCTTATAAGCTTATAAAAAAATCACTTGAAATTACTGATCTCAGAAAAGAATTAGCCTTTGACGATGTTTCGGAATCCATGTCAGTGCTTAAGGCGTCTAGTGTAGACAAAAATAGCTTTATAAATTTCTTTAAATCTTAACAACTCATCATGATTTTCTACCCAGCGGGTTTCGCACATTGCCGTAACGTTTTTCAATTATGTTTTAGGGAAGTTTTTTTTGATATTATCTTTTGAACACTTGGTTCGTTTTGCCCAAGACTTGATAAAATTTCCAACCGATTTTATAATTCCAATGGTATTTCGAATAGGCTGAACCTGGCAAGAATGACCCAGAGCTAAATTCAATGAACGTGAGCTGCAATGAACATATAATTTCTGAATAAAGGCTTATGGATATGACTCACGAATTACTAACTGCATACCATTAAAACTTGCTTACATCGAAGAAGCTCCATCATATCCTCGTCCGACTAAATATTCGCAATCTACTCCCAAAGATTTTAATTCAGATAAAATTACATTAGCTAAATATCTTCCTTTTGTATTCTCAACTGCTATAAAAGTTAAAAAATCTTCACGCGATATAAACCCATTATCTTTTGGCTCGGCATATCTTAGACAAATTGACATCTGTTCTCGTCGTGAAACATCATTAGTTTTGTCAACAAGGATTAAAAAAATTCGCAGAATTTATCCTTGTACAATTTTTTTCTGGAATAATCCAGATTAATCCATTTGTGGTGAAATAATTCACCACAAATTGCAATAAGATCATTTTGTATGGTCGGGCTTAGGTAGGTAGCGTTCAACGTCATATTTTCTATGTGCTTTAATAGATTTGTGTCTCCACATCATTCTGTCGTTCGCTTCTCATCCGTAAGATAATACGAAAGTTTCCATCATTTGTTGCTGGCATCATTGATTGGACCTGAGTCGCACTTACCTCTCAGTGTCAATTCTTGAGGTCCACATAATTTAATTGTTTCAATAATCGGAATGAGCCGTTTTCGATTTTCAGGTATTTGCGGTAGGTATCCGCTATCTATCTGACTTATTATATTTGGTTGTGATTTATTATTTACCTTCATAAAATTATCAGCCAATAATACACAAGATTTGTGGTACTGGCTTTCACTGTGATGTTTGAAATCATGTACAGCATCTTTCCATTTAGTGAGCGGCTGAGTAACTAAAGATTTCAACTGCTGATGAGAGCCTTTACCTACGCAATCTCTGGCAAATAATACACAATATTTGCATATAGCACCTTGTTGCCCTGTACTCGTGTAAACCAACCACGAGAACCGTTCAAACCTTGTGAATGTCTTTTCTGACATCCAAGGAGATTTCAACAATCTGGAGGTGTTTGATCCCTTATAACAGCCCACATCTAAAAAATTCTGAGAAACATCATCCACAGTCCCAGGATCGGCAGCAGAAGTACCAGAACTACTTGTAGTCACTGTCAAAAACACTTGAACACTGATTTTCAGTAGAACCTTCACTACCAGTAACAAGTTTTAAATTTTTAAAATAAATATTTGAATAATGTATTTTCTTGCGTCATTTTTGCTATTTCAAATGTTGAACCGACCTGTAACAATTAAAAAAAAAAAACAGCCAAGTATTGATTCCATTTGTACACAAATATTTATTTCGATAAAAATTTAAAAGAAAATGAATACGAGTAGGTAGTCTACTCTTAGGCATCAAATCCTTTTAACTTTAATTACAAAAATTATAACACCACTTACTTCAATACTAATTCTCAGCATTATTATTTCACACACTGCACTATTACTTCGCTTATATCGCCTTAGTTGCATTGGATCACTTTAGACAGAACTGCCTCTCCGTGCTCGACGGCTCGAGGATAATTCGTCTCATTCTACGCTTATTGAATATTCCCGAAATGCAGTTCGAGCACGTCCCTGAAGTTGCGTTGCTTGTGTAGTTGGCATAGAACGTATTTTCGCCGCTCCCTAATAGATGTTGCTGCGCCGCTATTTAAGTATCGTCTTGCGAATGAATAACAAGTGTGTATATAGTCATACATAATAAAAATAACAGTATGTAGAGAATTTTGTTTGTAATAACTATTATGTTGTGTAATATTATTATTTTATTTCGGGGGGTGGGGGGGGGTCAATTCCCTTGATCCCCCTGGCTACGGCGTTGGTAAAAGTTATGAATACGTAAACCATGCGTAGAATTTAACGTATTTATAATTTGTCTGTGACTTCCGTGACAATGACATATGTCAATGTCACTCATAGAAAATAAATAAGATCCTTCGTTCCCGTGCGTGTTTGAGAAGTAGAGTTAGCAATTTTCTACGAACTTTGATACGAAAACGAGTTATTTGTTTTGGCAGATAAGCAATATATTAGTGGTTACGTTGTAAGAGATTAAGTTTTTAAGTGAAAATTTTGATAAGTTTTTGTGTTAAAATTAAGGGTAACTTTCAGTTTTTCATGTCCTACTTGTTAGAGGTGTCATGTTACTTTACGAACTAACTTTTCTCTTATTATGTCATAGCTGTTAATAGATCTCACTTTGAGTGTGCAATAAAACTTTTGCCGCCGTTTATGTTTATATAATATATTTTATATTAATTTTAATAATACATAAATTAAAAGACAACCTGAATTATGTCAGAAATGCATAAAAATTAACACTGTTACGACTGAAAGTATTGTTATTATCAAAACTTCACTAATAAATTAATTACGTAAATAATAAATATTTAAAAAACCCTAACCATTTAATGTAACATTTAAAATAGAATTTTTTTACAGGAAGATGCCTATCAATACAAAATTATTATTGCCAGTAGCCTTGGGGCTGTCTATAGTTACAGTGACGGCATTTGTAGCTTATTACATATTCAAAAAGGATGAGGAGGAAACTAATGAAAAGAAAATAAAATCATCAAGAGTTAACATCATTGAGGTGACAGTACCAAAGAGTATCGTCCCTGCATTAATTGGTTAGTATTTAGTTGTTAATTTTTTTAATGTCTCATTGGTCTAATGGTTATAAATGCAATTGCTGATCATGTTTTCCAAGTTTGAAACCTTGATGGGGCCAAAATGGTTATTGGCGTTCTCTGCCAAGAAATGCTCTGTAGCAGGCTGGATTCAGGAATTTGGCAGTGTTTTACACTGGAAGTGGAAAGCCTGTTTGTGCAACTGTTTTCCTTCCAGTTGTGTCAGATGGCCATCTCATTGGATTATGACAGTGAGGGAGTACAATGCACTTGTGCCTGTGCTCACACTCTTGTGATATAACCCTGTCCTGCACAGATGACTAGTGACCACTTGCAGAGAAGACTAAATTTGGTCTGGATAGAAAAAATAAAATTACAAATTGTAGCTTCTTAATAATACTGTTTTAATGTTTTTAATAAAATTGTGTCATTTATTGGTATATAAACCCTGTTCATGTTTTGAACAAAATATTAAAATTCATTATATTGGCAGCATAATGAATTTTTAAATAAGTTTAATAGCATTATTTATTAACTGATTCTGAGTTTTAATTCTTAAATTTGAATAAGGCCAGTGCTTTTCACTTTTTAAAAATATTGCTTATTTTTTCCAAAACTGCACCAATTTTATCAGTCTATTTGTTAAATATTTGATTGTTTGAAGTGTTGTGATTAAATATCAATATCATATGTGTGATGACAGTGTAAGAGAAACTATCATCACGTTTGGTCTTATGTGTGTTGTAAGGGTCACTATGAGTTATACCAAAAAAAATCTTAAATGATCTTTACATCATTAGAACCATCAAGTTAACACTAGGCATAAAATGTACAGATCAAAGGTGCAATCTTCTGCCAAACATAATTGTCAAGGCAAGTCCAATATAATGGGAGTGGTCCATCTCAAACAATGAATTTGTATGGATTGCCATGTAGATGATAAGTACTCACGATAAACATTTGATCGGGCTATCAACCAAACCTGTTTTCTGCTATATTTATACTTGCAAATTTAAATTTTACATAAGCAGTTTTAGTACATTACCCGCTGTTTTATCACTAAAATTTTAAATTGCTAATACCATGTTAGGCCTGGTTTACATTTTGAGCAGTGACAAGTGCGAGTGGCAAGTGCAAATGACAAATGACAAGTGGTTAGTGCATGTAAACAGGCAGTGCCGAGTGATAAGTGTGAGAAAATATGCACTAAGCACTCGTCAGTTGCACTTGCCACTCGCACTTGTCACTTCTCAAAATGTAAACCAGGCCTTATGTCATGTAAGATATTGTTTTTCTTTAAAAATCAGTCACTTTCATTATTAGATTACATTAGGGGAGGGTGGAATTTCAGTCTGTGAATATTGCGCGCAATAATTATTGTCTGGTACATGACGAGATATCACTAGCGCCGTCTAGTATTGAGTAGCAGAACTAGGAGCATCAAGATCTTTCTAGAAAATTCCATACTAGAACTTTCTACAACTAGTCAGTTGGGACTGGTATGTACTCGAAAATTCTAGATGTTTCAGTAGAAGAGACCATATTTAAGGCCGGTAAGGACCGCGACCAATGAGTATTGAATTGGCGATACAAACTAATAATTCAAAGCGATATAACTGCGAACTAAAGTGATCAGTAGCACAATTGTGTTTTATTATTAGTGTGTTTTAAGTTCTAATTGGTGTTCTGTAATTAAAGTGTCAATTTTGGCAATGCAATCGGCAGTTTTTACTGTCACAAAACCCAAGCTCGTAACAATATGTTCATGATCATCCCTGTCATTACCATTATAAAAGGACACCTATTATTAACAAGGATGATTTGCAAGAGTATTGAAATTATCTTGCGGGTACCCAAAATTACTAATAATAAATCCGAACCCAATATACCAGTGCTAGACTTCAAGATACTGTAAACATTTTGCATAGATTTTTTAGATCAAAAATTAATATATAAAAGCTGAAGGCAGCCTCTGTTGTTACGAACTAATAGGTGATGATTTTCAAATAGCTGAACTGATTTTCCTGCATGAAAGCTAACTTATTATTACTGCATAGTAGCTAACAAAATCAAAATTGGTTTGTCCTTTTGGGCGCTACCATACCACAGACAGTCACAGACATTAAACTTATAACACCCCTCTTTTTTCATTGGGGGTTAAAAAGTAGTTAAAATTAAATGTGATAATTTAGTAATTTCTTTATTTATTACTAAGTGGTGAGACTCTTAGGCAGATCTCGGAGTCCCTCTGGGGGGGAGGGTTTCAACCTATACCTGTTTCTGTCCCAAAAGGCAGTGCTTGCTCTGCTGTTTCGGTCTAAAGTATAAAGAGAGCCAGTGTAATTACGGGCTATGAGGTATTCCATCGTTCCTCTTTCCTTCCATTTATCCTTCATTCATTTCCATTTCATAATCCTCAGAGTTGACAAACATCTGTAGCCTTTGTCTGGAGTTGGCTGCAGGTATCCTTGGACTGTACTAGTAACATTATTTAATCTGTGACTATACTAACCACTTACCACCTGATGGTGGATTGTAAGTTTGTATGTCATTTAAAATAAAAATAAAATGTTTATTAAAAAAAAAACTATATATTTGTTTATCCATAAATGATGTACTAAAAGATAACATCATTTTTTGTTTGCATGAGTAATTATGTTCCAAGGATATGACTCAAATATATGACAAATAATTTAAATATTTACATAAGGCATTATTTTAGACATACTTTTATATTTTGATGATGTTATGATGTTGAAAAATGCTTCTAAGGTTATGTTAAATATTTGTTAAAGCAGAAAAATTACTAAATACTTTATAGTCTAGCACATAATAATGGATGAATGCTTCTAGGGATGTAAACTTAAATTTTTGTATTATCATTATCTATATAGCCCTTTACAAATCCACTGTTGAACATAGGTTTTGTAACATGTAACATTTCTCTGGAGTTGGATAGATTTCATGTTCTGGTTTTGTACTTGGATACACATCACAGAAATACTATATAAGCACTTCAACATCTCGGTATACAGACTTTCTACTTTTGAGAGAGATTTTCTACGGATTGAAAGATTCAGCCCACAAGACAAAGTGGCAGATTGTACTGCTCAGTCTTCTGTATAATTTGCCGAAGAGTTATTGGACAGTCTAGTAGACACGCTAAGACAGTGCGATTTACCATCTAAGGCTGCATCACCACTCGCCACCAGGTAGGATTGTGGGCGAGCACTGGCTTATAAAAAGTATAAAAAATCGGTGATTACTTCCAGTTTTTACCTTTGCTATTACATATATCACTAACAGTTGCCGTCTGGTCGCCATTATGAAGTCACTCCATTTTGTCGAACTGTCAAAGCATGTCCAGGTACATTTTCTGTGGGGGTAAGTGAGTTTAACGTAAGGGTTTCCTTCTCCACAAAGTCGGCCAGCTGTTAACCTCTTGGGCTCCGGATTTCCCTACATTCAGCTCGCCGTTTTCTCTTGTGCCTATTTTTGTATAGAGTCCTCCATATTTTCATCCTGATGTGCTGAGATGCGTAAACCTTTTTCAACAAATACCGTTTGGTGATTCTGAGTACGCAAACCTCGGCGACGAACTACAAAACGTATCTTTACAATGTTGCCAACAAAAAACTTGATGACGATAAATGCCACACCTACTTGGGATAAATGGTCCTAGTAATATAACAAGTTGCTGGGTTCGAGATTTACCGTGTCTTCCCGCTCCAGGATCTTCTCGTCAGTCCTCAGGGTACGTGCGTTCAACGAAGCGAGTTGGCAAACACAGTTTTTTTATTACATCCACGAGACGATAAGCGTTAGTGGATAAAATATTAACTCAGGTTACGTGCGTTAAGTATAGGTTGAGTAGTTGAAGGTGACAACCGAACCTCCACCGGCCTCTGCTCCGCCGTTACCATGGTAGCCACCTTCACCAGGTATAGCGCAGATTTTTTATTTGGTTGTTATCAGAAAGATGCGGCTGCTCATCTGGCTTGTTTCTCTCTGTCGCCTTCTACAACACTCACGAGATGATATGAGGTAGTATATATGAAGTAGATACTTTACACCTGCTACATAAACAAATATTTGTACGACCGGAAAATTTGCTTCTATTTCTTGCACATATTTTTTTTATAGAAGAGGGGGCAAATGAGCATGCTGCTCACCTGATGTTAAGTGACTACCGCCGCCCATGGTCAACCGCAACACCAGGGGAATTGCAGGTGCGTTGCCGTCCCTTTAGAAAGGAGTAAGCTCTTTTCTTGAAGGTCCCCAGGTCGTATTGGTCCGGAAAAATCGCCGGTGGTAAACTATTCCACAGAGAGGTTGTACGCGGAAGAAAACTCCTCTTGAAACGTACAGCGGTGGACAGCCAAGCATCCAGATGGTGTGGATGGTATCGGGACGTTTGCCGTGTAGTGCGTTCACGAAATTTGGCGGCTGGGATTAATCCGAACAATTCCTCAGAGCACTCTCCATGGTATATGCGAAAGAAAATGCAAAGAGATGCAACATCTCTTCGCAGTGCCAGTGAATCGATCGGAAAGCACTCGGTCGTCGACGATTCGAGCCGCTCTGCGCTGGATGCGGTCAAGTGGAAGGAGCTGGTACTGGGGAGCCCCAGCCCAGAGATGGGAACAGTATTCCATGTGCGGCCGAACCTGCGCCTTGTAAACTTGCAGGCGGTGTGCCGCCATGAAATACTGTCCGGCTCTGCTGAGCACGCCAATCTTTTTAGAGGGCAATTTGGCCTTCTCTTACAAGTGTCCACGAAACTGCACGTTACTCGATATGTCGACGCCGAGGATTCCTAAACTGGCTGAGGCAACAAGGGGAGTGCCTTGAAACTGAGGAGATACGACAAAGGGGTTCTTTTTAGCGGTTCACGCGCAAACTGGTGTCTTCTGAGGGTTAAACTGCACTAGATTTAGTCGCTCCCGATCCGAGACTTTGTTCAGCAAAGACTCGACTTCAGACACAACTTTGTCCCGGCA